GCAGTTTTGCTCCCTGGTGACTGCACATTTAAATATAGGATTATGGAGGCAATTCATATTCAAACCACCAGAGTGACTATCTGATTGTAGATGTGATTGGGCAAGTGATGGGTTGTGTTTGTGACTGTTGCTCGTCTGTTCACCCATTTATACCACCCACCTGCAAAGAACCTTGAAGGAGAACGTATATGTTTTTTTTTTTTTGTTGTTGTTGTTGTTTTTGTTTTGTTTTGTTTTCGAAACAGGGTTTCTCTGTGTACATTTGGCTGTCCTGGTCTCACATTGTAGACCAGGCTGGCCTCTGACTCACAGAGATTCCCCCTGCCTCTGTCTCTGCCTCCCAGAGTGCTGGGATTACAGGCATATGCCACCTCACCCAGCTCATATATGGTATTTTCTTGCATACTTTAAGTAAGAATATCTTGTATATTTTAAGTAAAAAGCCCGAAAGTAGGACTGTGGATGTAGCTTAGTTGTAGACCACTTCCCTGGCTTGTGGCCCTGTATAGAATTCCCATTGCCAGAAACAAACAAAAAGATCACTGTAAAAGCTAGTAAGGTGGGAAGGAGGCCACACAGAGCCCAGATAAGGAGAATCCCTTTGTAAGATAAGGAGTAAATAATACTTTGAATTTTTGTGCTGTTTCTAGCTAGAAGATAAATGAAATTTAAGTATTTTTAGAACTTTCTAGAGTATTGCCCATTTAATAGTGGGTGTGGCAATGTGATGAACCCATAGTAATTTTTAATTAATTAGTAATAAGAACCCAAATTAAGGGCTGAACAGAGGGCTCAGTGGTTAAGTGCACCTTGTCTTCCATAGGACCTCAGTTCAGTTCACGGCACCCGTGTTGGGCAGCTGACAACTGCCTGTAACTCCAGTGCGTGATTTTCAGTTAGCTGCTTCTTACTGTCCTGCACACTGTTCCTTGGCTGGCTTGTCTGTGTCTTCTTCTGTCTCCCTCCACTCCCTCCACCGCGCGCGCGCGTGCGCGTGTGTGTGTCTTATATTTGTTTATTGGAGGTGGGGAACATGCTCATGCCATTGTACTTACATGGAGGTCTGAAGACAGCTTCAGGAGTCATTTCTCTCCCTCTACCATGTGGGTGCTAAGGGTCAAACACAGGTTATCAGGCTTGGTGGCAAGAGCCTTTAACCACTTAGCTATCTCAAGGGGCTGCCTTTCTCTTCTTATTCTGTGAGTTTAGGGGTAATCAGACCTTTTCTATTAAAAAAGAAAACAGAGCAAAACCGGGAGCAAGTACTTGAGGCTTTGGAGATCATATTTCTGTCACTATCACCACAGCTACCAGGTGTGGACACAAGCATTGTGGCTCATTTCCCACAAAACTACTTATAGTCATTGAAGGTTGAATTTTCTGTGGCTCAATATCATAAAGTAGTTTTTGGAGAGTTTCCCCAACCATTAAAGTGTAAGCAGTGCTCTTAGCTTGTTGTCCCTATACAAATGGGCCTAGTTTAGAGACATTTTCTCTCACCTATAAAAGGATCTGATTTCCTTTGTCTAGTCTTGTCCCTTCTGCTCTGCTCATTATACTGCAGCCAAATTTATCTTAAAGTTACAAATTGGATATCACGATTTTGCTGGATTCATGAAAATGCGCACCATCTTTGGTGTTAGGGACCTTGTGGTAGCAGCATAGTCTCCAGTAGCCTGCAGCCTCTGACGTTATCACCTGTTGCCACAAGGTGCACCCCAAGTGTGTGCCAGATGAAAAGGACCTGCCTGCCGTTTCGCACTCCCTTTCTTTACTCTCTGTTGGCAAGCTTTTTAAAAAACTTTTATTTACATTTCTTATATTATTTTCTCCCTACTCCACCCTAATTCCTCCCAACACCCTGGTAGGAGAGAGGAAGGGTTAGTGGGAGAGGGGCGCAGTTCTCTTAGCTGCTTCCTGCTGGTTAGGGCCTCTTGGAACCAGTACGAGCCTCTTTTCAGGAGATCTCCAACTTCTTGTCTCACAGCAGCAACCAGGAGCAGCAAGGGAAAAACGGGAACAGCAATGGTCTTTCTCTTCTCCACACTCTCTGGGCTCTGGCATCTATTCCCTCTCCAGAGTCCCCAGATTTAAACTATCTGCAGCTGGCAAAGGGCTCCTCTCAGAGCCCTCAGGAAGCAAATAGTCTGCTGCTGTGGACCGTCTGAATCAATCCCACAGCCCACACCTGGGACCAAAACAAAAACCTGTTTATAGCCACAACTCTTTGTCTTGTTGCCTCTCTTTCTCTCCTTGGGGTACCCCTCTCTTTCTCTGTCCCCTCTATCTTTCCACAATAATCTCTTTTGTACAGAATATGTTGTGGTGGCATTAGTCGTTATTATAACACCTGACTATGTTTAAGTGCTATGTCTTACTCTGTCCTTTCAGTTCCATTATTTCCAGCTCCTTGGGGGCCGATCACAGACCCTAGAATGTTCAGTGATTTTTCACCTCTTAATTGATGTATCGTTAAATGTCTGCCCTCTTTACCTCCCCTACTGTGTTCTGTATGTCTCTAGAATCTCATGATACCATTTATTTTACCATACTATAACTGCCTGTTTTCTTCAGTGCCTTTTTTGAATAATGAGCTTCTTGAGCACAGTGTTTGTCTATTGTTCTATTTGCGTTTTCCTGTGAGCTATCCATAGCACACAGGTCATTCGGCATGGCTGGGGATATTGCTCAGGTGTAGAGCAAGGGCTTGTAAAAGGCTGTGGTCTTATCCTTAGGCATTTCTTGTTACCTTCCCTCCCCAGGTAGCAGCCATTGTCTTTCTCTCCTTACGTACTGGCCTTTTCTGGGCACTTCCTATGGATGGGTTCAGAAATTTGTTGCCCTTTTTTTTTTTTTTTCTTTCTTTTACTTGACTATGTACTGTTCCCAAAGTATACCTGTGTTGTGCTATGTACTAGGGCTTCATTCCTTTTTGTTGTTTTTAGTTTGTTTGGGTTTTGGAATGGGCTTTCTCTATGTAGCCTTGGCTGTCCTGGCGCTCACTATGTAGACCAGGCTGGCCTCGAAGTCACAGAGATCTACCTGCCTCCGCCTCTGGAGTGCTGGGATTAAAGGGCTGTGCCACCACTTCCCAGCCCTATTCCTTTTTATAACTGTGTATCAGCCTAATTTAAACAACTTCTTCAAAGCGGCCAAGGCTGTAGTGAGACCGCTGGACTCCTGCTCTTGGAGCAGTTCTGCCTTCATCTGCTCTTTGTTTATGGCGAAACTTTGACCTTCAGTATTATACATCATCAGAACTCAGGCTAAAGAACAGACCTGCTTGAGTCTAAAGGACCTTCCTTGGCTTTTCTGCCCTAGCTCCTTTCCTGCTATTCTTTCTATTGAATCACCAGACAGTACTTTGGAATCTTCTTGCATACCTCAGCCCTTCTTGACTCTATGCATTTTCTTGGTTATTTTCTCTTTCTGAGGCGCTCCTTTCTACTTGCTTCAAGTTTTACCTTGCCTTCAGTTCCTATTTCAGACAGAATCCTTTCCATAAAACTCTGAGCTACCATAGGAATTATACTCCTTAGATACTACCTTGCCTACTGATTCTTGACACTGCTCTTACATTTTCTCTGTTGTTTCATATTCTTGCCAGTATGTTGGCACTGGATGGTAGGAGAAAGGGAATGTGTGTGACTGTAAGAGATAGTGTAAGCACTGGTAGAGGGCTGTGAACCTGATGGCCTGAGCTTGATCTCCCGGATCCACATGGTGGAAGAAAAAAACTTATTTTTGCAGTTTTCCTCTGACCTCTGCGTACACGCACACACGCATGTGCACGCTCATAGACTAAGAAATGAAATGAAAAAGAGGAAGTATAGCATGAGAGTTCTTTTGGTGATAGAATAGCTTCTGTGTCTTGGCTGTTACGTAGCTCCACAGACCAACACACATGTAATTAAATGACATGGAACTGTACATACTTGCTATATTATTTTCCTGATCTGGAAGGTGCACTAGTAGCTACACACACTGGGAGAAATTGTGTGGGAGTTACATGAGATATCTGTGTAATATCCTATACTTCAAATGAGAAATTTAAAAACTATATGATGTAGAAATGGAGTTGATATTTTTCATACGCCTTTTACTTTGTTGCTTCAGATCCATGTGAATCTGGCCTACTTTTGGGCAAGAGTACCTATTTGTGGTGCTTTATACAGTTAGGCAAAGCTCGTTTATAGCAAGAACTAAGACGTTTTATGCAAAATAAGTAACAAAAGGAAAAAATTGAAAGATTTAAAAAAATGAAAAATTTTATATTATTCAAGTGCATATTTTACTTTGAGTGGTGTTAGTTTAGAAGTCATGTTTTGTACACCTGTGTCCTAGCATCCATGTATACTGACTCCTAAAGGACAGTGACCATGGCTCTGAATCCTGAGCACGTACTGTCCAGAGTTTTTGTCTGCAGTTATGATCAAGTTCAAAGTGAATATGAGTAAATACGAATGAAACTACATGTTCTTGGTGGGTGAAGTGGTGCACACGTAAGCATTAAGGCAGTGGAGGTATGGAAATCAGGAGTTCAAGGTCATCAGAACCAGCACTGTAGGCAGAGGCAGAAGATCTTTATGAGTCCTAGACCAGCTGGTCTTCATAGCAGTTTCAGACTAGCCAAGGCTACAAAGAAAGACCTTGATTCAAAACAAAAAACCCAAACCAAGCAAACAACAATAAAAATAATATAGGGAGTTCAAGGGTAGTTTGAGCTACATAGGACATTGCATTTAAAAAAGAAAGAAGCCGGGCATGGTGGAGCACAGCTTTAATCCCAGCACTCAGGGAGGTAGAGGCAGGGCATGAGTTCCCCACAACTACACAGAGAAACCCTGTTGCGGAAAAAAAAAAAAAAAAAGAAAGAAAGAAAGAAAGAAAGAAAGAAAGAAAGAAAGAAAGAAAGAAAGAAAGAAAGAAAGAAAGAAAGAAAAAGAAAAAAACCATGTTAAACTGCAGATTATTAAAATGAAAACTTTTTTTTTTTTTAGGTTAAGCTACAGAACAACATATCGTATCAGATGGCAGATATACATCATTTAAAGGGTAAGAAACTTTTAACTGTAAAGGTAAAGACTACTTCATGTCTGAAATCTTCAAGAATTAAGAAATAGGTGGCTGCTGGGCACCATGGCACATGCCTGGCATCCCTAACCTGAGCACTTGGGGAGACAGAAGCAGGCAGATCTGTGAGTTTGAGGCCGGCCTGGTCTACAGGACAGCTAGGACTACACAGAAGAACCCTGTCTCAAAACAACCAAAAAAAAAAAAAAAAGAAGAAGAAGGACGGACAGCTGGCCTGAGCCAGGCGGCGGTGTCCCCGTCAGTCCCAGCCTTCTGGGAGGCTGACACAGGTAGATCTCTGGGCGCTACACACGCATGTGTGCATGTGTGCAAGCACACACAAACGCTCCAAGGTAGTTGGGCTGTAGCTTGTGTGGCCATCAAGTTTCAAGGAGAAAAAGATGGGTGCTTCTTCTGCAGCACGTCTAATCTGCTGACATTACCCATTCAGACGTGAAGGAGTTCTCAAAGCTTAATGTACGGTACACTCTGGAGACAGAATGTACCATCCAGGGAAGTCAAGGCAGGAACCTGGAGGCAGGAAATGATGCAGAGGCCGTGGAGGAGTGCTGCTTATGGGCTTGGTTTTCATGGCTTGCTCAGCCTGCTTTTTTATAAATTTAGGGCCAGCTGCTATTGTTTTAGATGAAGTGATGAGATAATCAGAGCTTTTATAGGAAAGAATAGATAAAAAGAGCAAGCTCTGCACTTAGATTACATTTGTCAGCTTGCCTTTGGGAATTGGGGCATGTGATGGTTTAACCTTCATTGTCAACTTGACTGGATTTGTAATCACCTGGGAAGAACAACTCTGGCCTTGCCTGTGAGGGTGTTTCCAGACAAATGTAATGGAGGAGCAAAGACTCACACTGAATTTGAATGCCAAGGTCTTTCTATGTAGCCACGACTAGCTTCAAACTTACAGTGAGTTTTATAATAGTGGCCATTAGCAGCCTCACCGAACATTATCTTTGAGCTCATATTAAGAAAATACAGCCGGGCGCTGTAATTTCAGCACTTGGGGAGGCAGAGACAAGCGGATCTCTGTGAGTTCGAGGCCAGCCTGGTCTACAAAGTAAGTCCAGGATAGCCAAAGCTACACAGAGAAACCCTGTCTCATAAAAACAAAAACAAACGAAAGAAAAGAAAAAAGAAAGGAAAGAAAGCAATACACAGTGTAGGTGGGCAATGCTGGTGCCTTTAATCCCAGTACTCAGGAGGCAGAGAGAGGCAAGAGGCGCTCGCTCTAAGGTCAAGGCCAACTCTGTCTCCAGCCAGAGCCACACAGAGAAATCCTGTCTCAAAGAAACAAAACAAAACAGGAAGGAAAGGAGCAGGGGAGGGAGGGATGGACAGACAGACAGACACTGTGTAATTAGGCATCCTGGTGCAAGCCTTTAAAGCCCAGCACTCAAGGCAGAAGCAGGTGGATTTCTGTGAGTTCCAGGCCAGCAGAGTTACACAGAGAGACCGTGTCTCAGAAAAAAAGTGGGACTTCAATACTATTGCAGGTAAGGCAATTCTGGAGGCATCTAAGAACTTGTGTTCAAATCCTACTAAGATACTCAAGCGTTCTATTCTCATGGACCTGCTGAAGAACATGGTTGGTACAGGAGAAGTAAATACAGACTTCAAAATGGAAGCCAAAGAAAAATGTAAAAATAATACAGCAGAGTTGGGAAATGATATTTGAAATTTCTGGTGCCCTAATGATGAAGCAGTGTGGATGCTTTCAGAATTTGATAAAGTTGGACAGCAACCAAAGCTGTTGTAGAGCTGAATAGGAGGTGTTTTGGTAGATGAGGAGTAAAAGCATGATTCTACAGTTTGGGTCTTAGGTTTGGCAGAACAAGTTTGATTTGAGAATTGTAGTCATCTTGGTGATCTTTACCTCAGCCACAGTCTGAACAATGAAAAAGGCATCAGGAAGCCCGGAGCTTGTTGACCAGCCAGCTTAGCCTGCTCAGTGAGCTCCAGATCTTAGAGAAAGAGGTCTCAGAAACGTCAAGGGGAAGGGCTGGAGCTGGCTTGGCAGGTGAGACTACATAGGGCTCTTGTAGAGGACTCAGGTTTGGTTCCAGCACACACATGGCAGCTCACAGCCGTCTGTAACTCCAGGTCCAAGAGCTCTAAACACCTCCTCTGACCTCCAGTGACTCCCACTCATTCAGTGTACAGACATATACTAAGGCACACGAAAAATAACAACCAACCAACATGGAGGACTCCTGAGGAGCTACATGCAAGGTTGATATCTGACCATCACACACACTATCTAACTTCCTGAGAATATGAGTGGAGAAATTGACAATGTACATAACTAAAAGACTACTCCATAGTGGTCTTTCAAAAAAATTTAAAAATATTACAATAAGTAAATTTGATTATTCGTTGGCTCCTCTCCTTGTATGGCTAGAGCAACTGGCTGAGCTTCGTCAGGAGTTTCTTCGACAAGAAGACCAGCTTCAAGACTACAGGAAAAATAACACGTACCTTGTGAAGAGGTTAGAATATGAGAGGTAAGATGCTGCCTGCAGTAGCCTCTGTGAGTCTCAAGTGTTTGTCCAGCTTTTGTATATAACTCAGTTCTTTCTGTCTGTCCCCTGCTCTTTTTCTTTCATTTTCCTCATCCTATTTTCCCTTTCAAAGGCTCTTAGAAATTCATAATCTTTTATTTTAATAGTTAAACATTGTGAAAGTGTCTCGAGGTGGTCTAGATTGTCGTTTTTGTTGAATGGGATATATTAAGGACTGAAAGAAGAGTCTTTCTTTCTGAGGAACTTCCCAAAGTGAAAGCAGCCCTGGAGCATGTCCTCAGAATTGCCAAGGGAGTGTGTGCTCGCACTCTTCCTGTGTCTGCCTCCTCACTCACACTTCTGCTTAGGTAGGTAGGGGAGTTGTTAGGGTCCTATACTTTTGATCAGCTTTATAGTAAAGGGTTTTTAGTTAGGCCTGTACACCAGAAGTTAGGCTCAACAGTTTATCTCTTTCTGACTGCTTTCTACTGTAATTATGTGTGTACAATTACTTCATGTATGTATGTGTTTTTAACCCGCCAGTATTCAGCGTTCTTCATATGTTATAGGATTAAATACTAAACTAGTGAGATACATTTTCTAGCATATCGATTTATCAGAACTTAGTTTCTATAACTCGTGAGACTGTCGTAGAAATTTGCTTTTTCTTAGTATTACATGGGCCAGCAAGATGACTCAGTGGGTTAAAGGTACTTGCTGTGCCAATCTGATGACCTGAGTGTGGTCCCTGGATCCTGCCATGGAAGGAGGAAACTAACTCCCAAAACTTGTCTTCTAACATCTACATATATGATGACATGGTACGCTGTGGCACTCATTTACATAGAATGACATATCATGTACACAGATAAGTAACGGTAATAATAATGGTAAAGGAAAATAAATAATTTTAGATTAGTGTATTTTTTCATGTAATTTTTTGAGATTTCCCCTCTTCGTATGTCAGTAGTATATATTCATAAGCGTACATTTACTAAAAGTGTTTTATCATTTAGCTGCTTGTTAAAGATTGCTTTCTAAATAATTGTGCTAGTTTATAATGGGAATGTTTCTTCATAGTCCTACCAACATTGTTGATAGTTTGCCTTTAATTTGGGAGCTGTAAGAGTAACATAGTACAGTGATATCAAGATAGGAAGTTTAATTTGCAATAATAATGTGAACATTAACGTGTACCTGTGTATTAAGTGCTTGTTTTTGTTTGCAAGAATGTCTATTTGTAGCCTTTGACTTGTGCAGCAGAAAGTAACCATTTTTATCGGTTTTGACTTTACCCCTGATACTATACTGTTTCTTCCTTTCCCTTTATTTCATGGTTTAGACTTGTATTACATTTCTTCAGTAGTAGAAACTGAAGAAATCAATAGCTGCCGTTCCTTATTGGCTCTTAATTCCAGAATTTCTCATCTATTTGATAAGAACCAGAGTTTTCTTTTGTACAGTATTTTTCTCTTTTGTGATTGAAATTGACCGTTACAATTGTTTCTTTATAGGTGTAATTTTTTTAAACACTTGAGGAAGGACTGTTTTGGCATCTGTTTTCTGTTTTTGTTTTGTTGTTGTTGTTTTTTTTTTCCAGTTAACTTTAGCAGTATTTCTTTCCTCTGTTAAAGATTCAGCTGTTTCATGACTAACTGTATTTGTCTGTTCTCTTTTCTGCTCTTCTCTGCTGACTGATGTTTTGTCTTTCTAAGTGTATGTGCCAGCTTCTGGACTGACTTTGAGAGCTAAGTCTAAGATGGCCTAAAAAAATGACTTTCTAATTTAGTTTTCAGTGTGGACAGCAGATCAAGGAATTAAGAGCACAACATGAAGAAAATATTAAAAAATTAGCAGATCAGTTTTTGCAGGAACAAAAGGTAATTAAAAATAAGCATTTTAACATTATATGCTTTGGTTGTTATTCATGTAATTTTAAAGTAGTTGTACCTTTGTCATGACACATTAAGTATTCTAGCTTGCTTGATTTAAAAAAGGATGTGTATTTGCTGAGTAAAGTGGGTGTGTATAAAAAGATACAAATATATATTTGAGTTTTTGAGACAGGGTTTCTCTGTGTAGCCTTAGCTATCCTGGACTCTCTTTGTACACTAGGCTAGCCATGAATTCACTGAGATCTGTCTGTCTCTGCCTCCTTGAGTGCTGGGAGTACAGGTGTGTACCTGGCTTAAATAATTAATTTTGATTCAAAATTAATTTTTTAAAGTACTAAAGACTTTCTTAAAGTACTGTCAGATTTGTGGCTTCATATATGCTAAGTAAATGTGCTGGTGAGCTACATGATCAGCCCTGGCTGTTACATTTTGAGTCAGCAAATTTATTTTCTTTCTTTCTTTCTTCTTTCTTTCTTTCTTTCTTTCTTTCTTTCTTTCTTTCTTTCTTTCT